CCAAATCATGGCACTTTGTTGTTCATACATACTTACAAAATATAACTGTGGTGAGAAAATCTTTCAGTATCCAACTGCACACACAAAGACATCCAACGTAAAACCTCGACTCTGCAAATTCTAACTTCTAGACCACAAGCATTTAATTTCCTGACTGCAGATGCTTAAATGTATTGGGTGGAAAAAGAAAGACAGGTTGCTGGAAATCCCCTCTCTTTCCCGCTAATTGATTCAATGTGTGGGCATTATAAAGAAGAAGAAGAAAAGTAAGCAGGACCAGTTTTTAAACCACATGTTTCTTCCAGTGATAATTAATATCATCTTTGTAGCTCAGTTCCATACAATATTGTCATCTTCTAATGACATAGATTCTTCTATTTATTGCATTTTTCCTGAATCAAACCATGGTGAGTTTCACCCAGGGTGTCCACTGAATTCGATTATAGGATGTGTGCTGTGCTCACAAAGATTCTTCCTGTCTCTGGAATTTAAATATAGTTTGGAAAGTTGGGTTTTGCAATCTTTTATCCATCCCTTTCTGGCTTGAGTGTATCAGTTCAGATTAAACAGCAGGTGCCAGAAGACAAAAAGGACAAAGAGAGAGAAGTAACCCATCGAGAGAATGTTTCTGGATCCCAGGCCTTTGGCATTGCAGTTATTTGAGTAGCAGCAGTAAACGCTCACTCCAGGAACTTGTGAACTTCCTCGCCGGGCTCGGTCACAGAATGACCTATATGAGCAGGACTTCATAATGCCACCTAGAACAGATTCAGAGACAAATCCAAGATATTTACTGTCCGTGCTTATCTGCTCCTTTATCTTATTAGCTTGAATTAGAACATCTTGGCTCTTTGAAGTGCTTATCTGAGGGAGGGACAGTTCAAGGAAGAAATAACTTTAAGGACATTTTGCCTTTCTCTTGCATTGTTTGATTTACATCAAACACAGATGGATCTGTACAAAACTACAACCCTTTTTTTTTATTTAGAAAAAAGTAGAACCTTCCATGCACCATTGGGCTACTTATAAGTAGAAAATCCTTCTTGCTAACTGAAGTTTCAGATAAACCATTTATTTATTATTCATCAATCTTAACATCAGATAAGTCATTTATTCTTACAGAATGACTTTTTTGTAAAAGAGGAAAAAAGTGAACATTCTATCCATAGGCAGACATAAATCCAGTCATTGTGCAAAAGGTATATTTGGAATTTATCAACAATGCTAATGATAAAACACGAACGGCTTCCAGTTTCTATATTATGTTCAAAATTTGATTCAATTTCTTGCTCTTGAGCCAACAACAGCAATACTGACATATTCTTCTGCTGTGTGACACACTTTGAATTTAACCAATTTAACTTCAGATGGTGGTTATTATAGAGCACTTACTTGATTGTCCTCTGATGATTACACAAGCATCAGAATGTCCTGGACATTGTTCAGAGCCTTGTTGGTTACACTCCTCATTACTTGCACCTGCACACGTATAGCACTGCAGCCCCTCACCTGATATTATTATTATATACATAAAAAAAAGAATTGCTTTATTTGCAGTGAAAACAAATCAGCTTTGATTCTCTCTACCAGGAGACAGTTTTAACTACAATACAAACATCTGATAGCAGTAATATAAGTGATTTCAGTCATTTTAAAGAAGGCAGTTATGGTTTCCACTTGATGGAAGAATAGCCTCACTATAAATATTTTAAAACTGAATATATTTCCAACATTAACTCTCATTAAATAAAAAAGAACCCTATGTTCTTGAAAATTCACAATTGTATCATGCAACTCTTTGTAAAGTTCAGTCTGGAAAAAAGCACAAAAAACTAAACCCTAATCATGTAAATATCAAGATTTCAACAGGATAACTTCTTTTCCCTTTTACATCTGTAGTTATGAATTCTGAGGAGGGAATTTAGATACTAGGCCACTAACGACCTTAAGTAACAAAGTATTAGTTCCATACTTCATTTACAAGTTTGTGTGCACGCACATATGTAAAGCTGTAATTAAGAAATAGGAATTTGCTCCAAGAAGAAATGTTAATTTATGTTTAAAATAATTGAAGCTATCCAGTTAGACTCCTCTTGAATTTCAAAAATGGAAAAGAAAAGACCAGTAGAAAGTAATTGGTTATTAACTATTCTAAGCTACATTAAAAAGCATTATTATTATTTGTAAATCTGGAATGTTTAAATCCTGAATTATGGTAAGTGAAAGAAGAAACATGGAACAAAATTACTTACTTTCTATGGTGAAAAGAAAGCTGAGAAGGACGAAGCTGATGAATCGCTTCATCATGGAGAGCCAACAAAAGTATTGTTAGACAAAACAACTGATTGTCATTTATGCTCTAATGCTTATTCAGCATAGTTAATCCTCTCTAGAGGATCATGTAGGAGCTAAATGGTGCAGGGTATACTGTAATCTGTTGTTTTTTTCTGGCTACTCTTCAAGACAGATGTATTCCTTCATATCTCTAGCATTCTCAGGAAATACTTTTTATCAACTATCTAAAAGGGAACATCTCATCTGTCCAAACACCTATGTTTCTCACACTATTTCCTAAAAATAATGGAGTACTAATTGGCATTTTATGGGAGTATATGCATAAATGTTTTCAGATGCACAATTCTTAGCTTGCTGAGCTATTCAGTACTTAACCGGATTCTAATAGATCAGCCAATATATGAGAAGTCAGAAATGTTCCTGTTTATTTTCTACTAAATGTAAAGCTATTGTGACAAAAATCAGCTGTTGAATTCATCATCCATTTTACTGCCTTGTTGTGGACTGAGTATTAAGCTCACATATATTCCACCCTAGTGAGAATGAGTGCTCCAGTTGTAAACCAAGGTCAAATTATGAGAAACCATAGGCTTCTTCAGTTAATTCAAGCTAAACATTACTGTAACTTTTAAGGTCAGTTATATTATGCAAAAGTTTCTCTTGAAGCCAGTTAAAGCTCAGAAGGAGATGAAACAAAGATTTTTGCCCTCTCCCCACTTTTCAATTTTTGTATCAATGTGGGGAGATGTCTTAATACCCCAAACTTCCATCCCTCTAAACTAGGGGATCACAACAGAGCCCTGTTGCTCCATACAGACAACACTGTAGTTCTTTTCAGGACACTAATTGACCTTAAATGAGATCTGAGAACTTTGGTCCAATATTGCAACAATAATAATCTGGCAATAAACTATCATAAAGCCAAGATTATGATTTTTGCTAAAAGATTGAAGCTCTGGTTATGGAGCATTAATGGTCACAAGATTGAATTAGTGATTAGCTTTAAGTATTTAAGAGTAGTCATGGATGCCTCTGGCTTGCTGGAAGCCTACTGTTAATATTCCACTGCTATTGGTCAAAGATCCACCAATGCCGTTCTTAAATTTTTTTCCAGTCCAAGGGAGGACATTATGTTCTAGTGGTACTTAAGCTGTTTCAGAGAAGCTTCCAGTCCAGGTCCTTTATGGATTCTGTCCCCAACCCCCAATCTTGTGTTTCACCTCCCTGGAGATGGTAGGATCCAAATTCATCAGAGCAGCTTTCCAAATCCCACGCTGTATCTCAAATGCACATCTATGAATGGAAACAGGTATGATCAAAGTTGAGTCAAGAGTGCGCCGAGCTTCTTTAAACCTTTGGTTAAAGCTCAACTTCTGTCTTCAAGACTTAGCACCATTAATTCTTCAGGACAATTTGCAATCCACATGGATTAAGACTGTTGAATCTAATCTTTTAAATCTAGGCTGCTCTTCCTCTTCAAGAACTGAGGCAGCAATTGTTCTGATCTAGGCTTCACAAAATCACGAAACCGACTCCTTGTCCCGACAAAACCCCTTTTTATTTGGCTAATGTGAATTCCTATCATTCACATCCAACCAAGTCCCGACAAAGTCTTTCAAGGATGAATTGCAACCACAGAACTTATCAGGCTTGGAGAATTCCAGGCCGATAGCTTCCAAACGCAACACTGTACAAGGAAATACTTGGCAAGGAGTCTCTGAGAGTCACAGATAAACAAATCTTCACATTAATTAAAAGAACTGTCTCTTGCAAACACCACTCCCCTTTCACTCCTATTTATTCCCTATGGGAAGGGCCATTCACCATCCACCTGTGCCTTTACTCCCAAGTCGACCCTTGTTCCTTAACTGTTCCCTTCTTCTGATGGCTCTGTGCATGCATATAAATCTCTATTAGTGTACTGGAATATTCTGCAGTATAGATTAAAAAGTGGCCTTTGGGTGAAAAACTCTGCCTCTGTGATTTCAGAGAGGTGAAACTTACAGAGCATGTTCTAGTTCACTGTTCCTTTTATGAAAACATGTGAACCAGATTGATCCTACCTCCGATTAGAGGTCCTGGTTGCTCAGGTTCAGTTTATGCCCAGATGCTGCTCATAGCTTAAGTAACCCTTGCTAGAATGCACATAACTAGGCTTTGTGCAGGAATATAGAATCTTGATGGGCCAATCTCCTGCAGTGTATTCTTTGTAACTATAATTCATTCAAAATTTAGATATTACTTTGTTGGTACTAATAGTTTTATATACTATTACCTTGCTGTAATTTTAGAAGTTATCATGTTTAATATAAAGTTAGTGTTTACATTTTAAAAAAAAAGCACAGGCACTTTTAAAGTCAAATATTTCCAGTAACTTGTATCGGCCCTAGAATCATTTGTACAAGCATTCAGAAGAAAAGTCACATATTTTATACTAGTAGATTTTTAAAATATATCACTTATTATATTCTCTTGGGAGTTTTGTATACAGTATATCTGGGTGATCTCTAAAGCACCTTGGCTGTATTGGTATTCTGAGAAATAATGTTTTTCATACCAATGAAATAACAGAATAATATATAAAAAGCTGATGCTACTCAATATCAGATTTAGACTGATTTTCAAAGTCCCAATTAATAATATGAAATTCATTTTCAAACTGGAAGGGAAAGATTATTTGTGGTAAGTATCACAGAGGCAAGTACTTTAATTTTTCAAGTTTCCATTTTATTTTACAAATCAGAAAATGCAGATCAAATTTACACTCCTTAAGGCAAGAGTCCCCATGCATGTAATACACATTTATATTAAATTCAAAAAAGACATCCAACATGGGAACTCATGTACAAAGGGAAGGCGAGGATGAGCAACTGTAATTTATTAAAGAACTTGACAAATCTCCCTGATACAGGAACTTTTGAGATCAACTTGCTATGAATTATACAAAGGAAAGAATTGCAGACAATAGCAAGGATTTCTGATAGTCTTTGTACTGCATACAGTCAAATCAACATTATTAAGAAAAAATACAGTAGTGCATACAAAAAGTGAAAATAGAATCCGTTCACATCGCTGTCTGGATATCACTGTGCCAATGGTCATATTGCACTCAAGATTGTAATTTAGGGTTTTGGTTTAAAGTTAGCTTTTCCCCATTTTGGCAATCAGTTCATCACAAATCTTCGTCAACTCTTCTATTTCTTTATTCTAAAAAAACACACACATACACAGGAAGAAAGAATAAACACATTTCGGTTAAAAGCCGTACTGCACTCTTTTTCAATTCTGAAAATAACATTTGTTGTACATTCTGGGGAAAGAGCAATATCTGTCTGCAATTCAGTTCTGCTTATACCAGTCATCTTTGCTTAAGCACATCACTGTGGCATCTTTCAGGAAAGCTTTCGTTTTATGTTCTTTTACGCCTAAATCTTTTCTTACATTGAAATTATGCTAAAAGGATAAACCATTGCCTCCTAGAAGCCAGATTTTCTGCTATCAATAGGCTAAGCCAGTGTTTTTCAACCTCAGCAACTTTAAGGGACTTCAACTCTCAGAATTCTCCCAGAATCTATATACTACTGAAATACTTGTCTGTTTGACTGTTTGTAACCTTCAATTGGGCATAGTGGTGGATCATAGCGCAACAATATTTGAATCAACATACCTCCAAGGGGGTAACATTTTAATGCATCCAAAATTTGGGACCCGTGACTCCTATAGGGTTTAAATTTGGAAAAACTATGGCTGCTTCAGTGGTTTTGCACTGCCGCACTGCCATGGTCAGCTATGATTTCATGATTGTCATTTCCAACACACCCTGTCAGCAGGGGTGGGATTCAAATTAACAACCAGTTCTGTGGGCGTGGCTTAATTGGTGGGTGTGGCTTGGTCATGTTATTGGCTAGGCGTGGCCAACTCAATATCACTCACATCGAGGCATGCATCTCCTCGCCTGGCCTCTCATGACTGTGGGGATGCTGCAACAGTTGTAAGTGTGAAAAATGGTCATAAGTCCCTTTTTTCAGTGCCATTGTAACTTTGGTCACTCCACACAAGCAAAGTAGCACAAAGGAGGAAAAAAAACTGCAGAGAAGTTCCAGAGACAGGAAGTCTAGTCCTGCCAAAAATGTAATAAGGGTTAACAGAGAGAGCAACAACAGAATGTTTCCTTCCTGCCTTCCTTCGAGTTAGGCCAGTAATTTCTTCTAACAACTGGTTCTAGCGAACTGGTAGAATCCCATCCCTGCCTCTCAGTTTTCTCCAAGGAAAGTCAGTGAGGACTTCCACTGCTCTTTTGGTCATTCTGTTTCTCCGCTTAGATAGGGAAATAATCCTTAAAACGATAACCCAACGGGTCATGGGTTGTCTAGTGACATCTTAAAGTTGTTGAGGCTGAGAAATGTTGTAATAAGCCACAGTCACCCATCCATGAATTAAGGCTGGTGTGAGCACTTTAACTTGTTTCATTAAAAGCAGATAAATAATATGATGATGCAGTGCTTTAGTTTTGATCTCCAACAGGCCTTTGTACTAGGAAGGACAAAGCATATGGGAAAAGATCCAGCAGCTTTGAAGCATTGCATAGAGATGTACTATTAACACTTCCTCCCATTCCAATGTTTTTGGATTTTAAGCATGAAATGCTATACAGCCCTAATAAACAGTAAAATAAGGCACTAAGCCTACCTGATCCTTGAACTGCCTAAACACACACGGTGAAATCTAACCTCCTCTCTCTGATATTACTACATCACCATCACAGACAATTAGCCACTATCCATAGACAACTCGGCCCAGGGTTACCCTGGGTGGTCAATAAATTTGATAAACAGATAATATCGAACTGTTGAGGCAGATCCACCACCAGCATCCCAAACCAACTTCTTGAAGTTTTTGAGGATAGCATTTGATAGCAAAAAGATTGATGGTTTTACATTTCTAAAGTACATATTTGTATCTGTTAGGAAGCAGCTACCAAACCCAGAGATTCCTCTACAAGCAGCTTTGTACAGTTCAGAGCTAGTCACCTTTTGTTCCAGTGTTCTTTCCAACGCATCCACTTTTAACTGCTCTTTACGAAGGCTGGCTTGGTAAGCTGCTTGTTCTTGCTGAGCCTTTCCCCGAACTTGTGCAATTTCAGCATTGGCTCTGCAGAAACACAGGTATGTTGAGTGCCAAGGAACCTCTCTCCCTCTCTCTTATGCATTCATGTCAAGTGTGGACTCTTGGCAACTGGCCAGACTAGTTCCTAAAGTTTTCTTGGCAAGATTTCGTATACATTTATGAAAAGCATATATTATTGTAACTTGTGAGACACACGCATAATTCTTTATGAATTTCAGTACCATACTGGTATATCAGTATATTACATTATACTGTATTAGGTAAGGTTTGATACTTGGTGCTTAACTGAATCTTTCCTGAATATTTTAAAAAGTAGGGGGTCAAAATGGAGGGGAACCTTAAAGAATGACAGGATACATTTTATAGGAGTCAGGTCAAAATTATATATAAGTACTGACAAGAACCAGATGGAAAAAGAAAGCTCCAGAATTAGTTTACAATAGATTTCAGAACAGAAGTTTGTTTGTTTGTTATTTATTTTGTCAAAAAGCTTACAATACAATAGAAATAAGAACAAACATAGTTTAAATGTAAGAAATAGGAACTAATAATTGGGGATAATAGGACAGGGGCAGTATGCACAATTGTGCGCTTATGCATGCCCCTTAAGTTCTTGGTTGAAATGCAGGATTCCTCCCAAGCCCTAATAAAATACCTGTCCAGTTTTTCCTCTGCATGAACCTTGAGGGCTTGATATCTCTGCTCTTCTTTTTTAACTCGTGATAAATATTCCTGTGCGCATTTCTTTAATACTTCTTCATTCTTTAATGGGAAACATAAAAATAGCTTAACAACAGACCATAAGGGATTCACAGTAAGTTGTAGGCTTTGACCATGCTCTACAATTTTAGGTAGCAGATCATTTTTTTGAAAGCAGACATAAAATATTTCCTTAAAGCAAGGGAAACAGAAATATAATGTATAAATGCAGTGTATAAATGCTAAGCAGCCATCTCAATATGAATTCTACAGGCCATGCCTGGCATATGAAGCTCAAGCCATCTTAAGAATCCCTTTTCTGCAATGTCAACTCTACAGAAAATGGTTGCTTTGGATTTTTGGCAAAGTAAAGTACACAGTTGCTTTTAAAACACAGTGAATGAATAGAAAATCAATTAAGGGAAATTAGTTCACATTATATTTTTTGCATAAACCAGGGAATAACGTATAATCTCGACCCCACCACAGTTATGATAACAATGTACTTTCAGTGTCCCCATTGTACTAGTCACTGCATCTCCAGACTGGAACTGCGGAGCTATCTCAGTGCTCATAGATATACTGCACAACAGTGTGACTTCACTGAATCCAAAGGCCCACTATAAACTGTTTATGCTTCTTCTTTCAATGTGTACAAACAAGTGTAAAAAGTTTCTTTGGCTGTTTTCTCCTTTTACTAGAGCTAGGTGGCAGCACTTTCAGGCTGATGCACTTCTGGTTATTAGATTAAGGATCGTTGCTATATAAAGCCCTAACAAATGCGTTATTATATAAATGTTCTGTCAGAAGAAGCACTGAGGATGGAAAGGAAACTTGTGAACTATCACATCCAAGAAGAATTCTTATCCCCAAATTCCTGACCGCAAGGATCTGATCTTCAGCCAAAAGCTGCTGGTGAATGTGGAAATCAGGAAAAAAAACCCACCAAAATGAATACAAAAATGCAGCCACACACAACTCCAGACATGCACCTTAGTGAATGTGGGTGTTTTGATGGCATCATTATTCACTGTGACCTACCTTCCTAAATCCTTCAAGAACTTCTTTCATTTTTTCGTATCTTCTGAAAAGATCTGCCAGAGATTTTTCCACAGAGTTCAGATCAGCTAATGCTTGCTCTTTTTCTATAATAAGTTGCTGGACGGTGTGATGGGACATGGATTTTTCTCTCTGCTCATCCTCTATAGGAGACAACGATTAAAAGGCTCAAAGACAACGAATAGTTTTTAAAAAATTAAAATTAAATTAAAGCATGAAAATGAGATCATGCAAAGTAGAACGAGGGGCATGTTTGCTTGGTAAATCTGTTAAGCATTTAAAACATTGTTTCATTATGGGGATAAATATTTTATCATAGTGAAACATTTAAATTGGGCAACAGGACTGACCTTTACAAGTAACCAGAAGCAAATATTTAACAAAGAAAAGCTCTTTTATGGGAATCACATTGCTATAAATATGCAGCATAGATTCAGCAAGAATAAAAAGTGTGAATCGATGTAAAATAAGTTCTTTCTGCTGACTCAAAACCTCCCACTAGTCTTCATTTCAACTGAAAACTTTTAATATATAAAACCATATATTTCACTTTATAAAATGGCACCTCAACCCTAAAATCAAATGTTCCTTAAATAAAACAGCAGACAAATCTATACAAATATTTATAATAACTTCAAAAGAATCCTGCTAGGTAAAACCATTCATGTTAAGACATACTACTCTGATTCTGGAAACAGAAAATTATTATAAGCTTGATTCTGTATTAATTTATTTGATCCTCACCTTTAAGCATTATATGTGTCCGTGGCCCTTAGTAATCTTGTGAAAGTGATTTTACAATTTAATAGTGAGCCCTGAAAATTTCTCCTCTCCTTTTCCTGAATTTCCCACTACTGAATTTCATTGGGAATTATCTGAGAAGTTCTCCTTCTCATTTTCTCTCCAGCATGCACATATTTGCGTATTCTCTCTCTTTTTTCCTCCCTGTTTTCTAAAATTGTAATCTAGTTTTTTCTACCTGCTGTGTTTGGGGCTGCAACACCCCTAAATCTGAAGGTGTGCCAGATTTTTCAAACATTCCACCTTAAAAGGTCACTATTTTTACAACATTACAGTTATTATCAAGTGTCTACTTTTATCAGAGCTGTAGCAAATCAGAGCTTACACAGCATGTGAACACTGAACAGCTTTGATTATATGTTATTGTTAGATGCATGTGTATAACACTCACGCATGCCTAATTACAGTATACCATAAAGCAGTCTTAATTTGATGATGAACCAATTACATTTGCTATTGCTTTTCTGAGAGCAATTCTATCAATAAAAACAATAAAGATGCAGATAGTCTTTGTTTAACAACTATTCACAACGATGAAAGTAACTTTATGACCATTTGTTGCATTTATAACATTCACCAGTCTTTACAGCAAGGGAAAAATTAATTAAGATTTCTTAATGACCACTTTGATCGCATTGCCACTCTCAATTCTGATCATTAAATGAGGGTTACCTATAGTGGCAAAATCAATTAAAAACTGGTTATTCTTTAATTAGATAGGTTTGTTGTTATAGAAATTGCTGGTTTATATTATTAGGTAAAAGTCAAAAGATGAGGCTTGATTATGTTATTATCTGATTTTATTGTACCAAAGAGAGTCAGAAGTCAATGCCTTTTCTTTCCTTCCCCCCCACTTTCCCCTTCCCTTCTCTCTCTCCAATTTTCCCACTATTTACTTTTGTATTTTATATTATAATTATAAACTAACAATAAAAAACTGGTTACACTTTTAATAAATTGAGTATATTTCAAAATGGCAGTGAGTTATTCTAATTTATTCTTAAATCTAAAGATGCCTTTAATATATGATTTGTGTATCTTTTACTCCACAATAGTACAAAAGTATGGAAAGAAAAAGATGAAAGAAAGAATGAAAAAAAAAAACCAGATTATCTTCAAATGGATAAGTTGTTTGTTACATTGCTGTAAAATTCAGTGACTGAGGAAAAGTGAAAAAGAGGAAAACTTGGCTAGAAGCAGTTTTACAAGTAAAGCAACAGAGAATTTGTCACTACCTCTTGTTGATAATTTAGTATGAATATACTAAGCACCTGCACATGAAATATTTGTTCTTTCAGAATTGTCATTCTTCTAATATATTACAGTATTCGAAGTACTGTATTGATTTCCACACAACATGCTAAACAGAACAGGGCAACATCTAGACAAGAGTAATATGTTGTAAACCCCATGCATAGTTGAGAGGGTCATTTTTTTGGTCTTGTTTTCCTTCTCCATTCTTTTGTGGAAGTTTAGTTGACTCTGATAACTGCAGAAGGGTTTTGAAGGTGGTTTTGATTTTTTTTACAAATCAAAAGAACTATGTAGCATTAGTACATTAATGAAACTAAGCCTAATGCCGACACTCCTAAAACTAAACAAAATAGGGAATTCTTTATAGATCCATCCAAAGTGTTTATCTGAATGAAAATCCTACTGAGTTCCATAGAAGTTACTTTCAAATAAAAATAGAAATGGAATTGGAGTCACATTTCCATAGAAGTATGTTTTTAAAGCTAAATTCCCTTCCCTTCCCTTTTATATTTACATTTTTGGAGGGGATTGCAGTAAAAGACCAAGGTCTCTCTCAACTCTATTTTTCTGATATTCTGATCAGGAGTCTGAATGAAATCCTTAGCATAGATTAAGAGTTTCATTGCTATTGTATAATTTAATCACAGAGGAAAAATATTTTTCTAGCAGCTTCTTCTAATCCAGCCCTGTCCAACAATGGTCTGCAGTAAATTGCTAGCCAATACTGAAAGATTAAACTTAATTTTCACATTTAATATGCCCCTTGCTGATCAATTTTCCTCTATGCCATTTAGCAGATATGTTTCTTAAATTCAAGCCAGTTCCAAATCCCAAAATGGAAAATATTTGGGACAGGTTTTCATTTTGCCAGGGTAGAACAGACAGCCTCCAGGTTTTCTCTACTGATTATCAGGGTCTTCACAGAAGTGATCTGTTTATCCAGAGCTCCAATAAAAAGCCATGGAATATGAAAAAAGAGAATGTAGGTCTAAGTGACAAGCTTGCAGAATCAAACATCTTTTGGAGCATTCAGATCATGGACAGGAAAATAAATTATTTTATTATTTTCTCCATTAAGTGAGTCTGACATTCTGTTGGTTGGTAAATGAGTTGTCCCTACCAGTGAAACTTGCACATCATATTGTAGGTAGGGCAGGGGTCCTCAACCCCATGTTCGCGACCTGGTGCTGGGCTACAACTCATTCAGAACTTGGCTGTGGAACTAGTGAGCATTCATATGAGTGAAGCTGCATCTGCTGACTGCCAGCTGCCAGCAGTTTGATTCTCGCCAGCTCAAGGTTGACTCAGCCTTCCATCCTTCTGAGGTTGGTAAAATGAGGACCCAGATTGTTGGGAGCAATATGCTGATTCTGCAAACTGCTTAGAGAGGGCTGTAAAGCACCGTGAAGCAGTATATAGTTTAAGCACTATTTCAATTAGTAAAAGCAGCACACACGAAACCATCCCCTCTTCCCTCGCCACCACCTCCACCAGTCCACGACTTGGAAAGGTTGGGGGATGCTGTGGTAGGGCATTCAGTAGGTAGGATCTAAAATGGAGTGCCTTGACGCTTTTTAAATTGCATATTTAGATGGCCAAAATAATCATGTGAAATTATTCAAGTGAAAAAACAGTTTCTTATTAGATTTTTTATGATGCCCCACTGCCACTGTAAGTACTGTGGAAACTTTTGTAATATAGCCAATTAATAACAATATTTTTTCTTCACCCTATTCCTGAAGTGAAATGGAATAATGTATATCACCATAAAAAAATCCATCAACGCTTGCAGTATCTAGTCATCATTTAACCACTATTACTGTTAGAAATAATAAGATTTATATCTACATTCCCTGTAGATATCAGAAGACAGAGATCATCTGAAGATAGAGCAAATACATAAAAGTAAATGCCAAAATAAAATAAAAATAAATTTTAAAAATGCAATATGCAGGTGCCAAATTTGGCAAAAGCAATACTTACCAGGCTTGCCTTTGTTTTGGATTTGCAAGCAAAGAACAAGAAGCAACAAAAATGGAAGCAAAACAGAAAAAAAGTCAAGGGATTTATTAAGAAAGCAGAAAAAAATGGGAGGCAACAATCTGTAACGCACAAAGCACAATATTCCTTTTAGTTCAGCTATGAAAAAGGAAGCAGCATAATCGTTTTAAGTGGATGAGTTTGTTTTCAGCTTTCACACAAGCGAATGAATGAATGAATGAATGAATGAATGAATGAATGAATGGCTCAAAAATGTAGCAGCAGCTGGAGATAATGGAATTCACTGAAAACGGAAGTACTGTATATGAAATTCACCTTGACAAAATGCCATGTGCAACAGAAATGGTTCAAAAAGCACTCACATAATCTGTAGACTGAATGCAACAGACAACATTTTCTCTGATAAACTTTTTTTTTACAGAGACAAGCATGCAGTAGAGGCATAAGCTAAATGAAGACTGAAGATTTGAAAGGAAATTATAGATGTCACCTAAAAAGTACATGCCAAGGAATTACCAGGAGCTCTACAAACTCAATTTGCTCAAGTTTCTGCCTCCTAATTATATCTTTAGGAGCTAATCCTTTTTACATTTGCACCGGAGCCATTGATTTTTGAAAAACATTAGGGCATTTCTTTAACCCCTTCTTTTTAATGATCTGGCCTAAATCAGCTTTCTCTGAAAAGGTATTAGTTTAATTCAGATTTATAAAGTGTTCAGAAGGATCTTTCCAGCTATAAATATAAGGTGTTATTATTTCCCTTGCAGGATACCAATATCATAGAGCACACTTCAGCATATTTTCTCTGCATATATTAGAAACTCCTGCTATGTTTCTAACCAGGACAAAGTCACATGCATAATGATTAGTCAGAAATAACCACGTAAGTAATATTTCCTTCCCTTTTCTGTTAGTTTATGAAAATACTCTTGTATACAAGAATATTTAAAGCATTTAAACAGAACTTCTAGCCCAATTAGCTCAATTCTGAATTTTCCACTAGCTCTGAAAGTCACTATAGAATTAGCACTCAAACTATACAAACCTTGTCTGGAAAATCAAATACACATTTCCTATATCTAGGTCACAGCTAGCTTTAGGCTGATGCTGAATAGGCACTGGCCGAAGATAGCCAAACTTGGGGGGGGGGGGCACAAACCCTCCTTCTGAATCTTTCTAAAAGTCAAATGTTCGTATCAATGGGAAATGGCACCTTCAGCCAATGTTGCTAAGGGTTTACTCATCTAGGGGCATCTTTAATCTCCATGAACTATCCTTTTCTATTCTCAGACTCCAGATCTCACTCAAATAGTCATATACAATTGAAATACAATTAGCAATGATAAATATCCTGTAGACAAATCACAACTACCCAGTAAATTAAATAACAGAACAATCAGCTATTATTCTAATGTCTGCACATGCTTAATTCCTCCATGTTACATCTAAAGAAGACTCTTCATGAAGGGGGTTGATTACGTAACAGGTCAGCCAGCTAGTTACACTTCTGAATTTTTATCACCATCTAAAAATGCTGTTTGAAAGGACAGCTCAATTTTTTCTAAGTGAACTTTATAAAGATTTAATCTTGGTTTGTATCTTTTCTAAACCATATAAATCTCTATTAGTGCACTGGAATACTTGTACTGGAAATATATTCTAGTCTGCATAAGAGGAATTATGTCTAGGTAATACACAAACCTGCAGTATAAATTCAGTGGAGGTGGCTCAATTTAACATAACCGCTCTGGTGGAGAATTAGTGTAGTTTCTCCAAAAATTAATTGTAAAAGAAATATTTGCAATTTGCAAGATTAAAATTATCTCAAATGTTAAAATTAAAAAAAAATAACCTGGGGAAAACTAATACACAGAATTGAAATGCAAAAGATGAGCAAAATTTATGCACTTTTATCTCATATTCAGCATTTCTTTCACAAAAATCACCTACATTAAATATTGGAAGCTGTTCACCAGAATATTCTAGAGATATGGAATTATAGAATAAAAATAAATACTAATTTTAAATGAAAGGGTCATGTAAATATAAAGCCAGACAGTTGGACAAAATTATGTTGCCCCTAACTTTACCTTTGACACAACCATATTATACACTCTTTAAAGATTTTATTTAAGTTTAAAATATTTATGCCACTCTTCCAAATCACACCTCCCAGGAAAATCTGCCAAACAAAATTCTCAACAATACATAATACAACAGAGTAACTTTAAAATAGTAAAAACAAAAAACAGTAGCCCTAGTAATTAAAGTATTAATTAAAGTATTAAAGTATTAATTTTATGTGATAAACTTTTATGAGGCTTAATACTTTATACTTATTTGGATTATATTGCTGGTCGTATTTTGATATATTTTTACAATGAATACCAATAATATAATTAAAATACAGTGATGTTTGCCATAATAATGTGATTTGTTCTAAGAGACCAATGATATCCAGAATACTGCAATTTCCTACGCCTAAATAGTATATATCAGTATTGTTAAATGTTTGAGTTGATATCTGCCATCAAAGGAGTGACTATAATATATTTAGGTTTGTTTGATAATTGGCTGCTGTCAAATAAATATGTTCTTCCTGGCATTTACTTGTCCTTTTTTTTTAATGAACAGTGTTACAATACATATGATGAGATGAAATTCTGCATTGAATTAATTCATACATATAACATGAGACACAGCTAAGAAGAGCATGTTTTCTCCAAAATAAATACTGTAAGCAATGAAACAGTAAATAAGTAAATAAATAACAGTAATTTCCAAGAAGACTTCCAGGCACATATAGCAACCTATGGGTGTGTTGTAATTCCCAAACCTGTTTCTTAAATCATCTTTTTTCATTGCACGACTAATTTTCTATTATTGTATATTCCTTATAACAGAATAAGAAAAATATTTTCTTTTCATGAAAATTAATACCTACCTATCATTTGAGCAATTGTCTTCTCATACTCTGAAACAATTTTCCTATTAAAAGATGAAAAGATATGAAAATGAACACATATCCACAGAAATAGATTTTTCTAATGCCAACTCTTCCGTTAAAACCTTACAAATTAGCCCCAAAATCTATGACAGAATACAGTTGTTACAGTATGGCATTTTCAAAAGATTAATTCAGAGACAGCTAGGATGCTGTTAAATCCATATTTATGCTATAAAATAGGTGACTTACTACATATAGTCTGTGACTTCCATATTCAGACTTGTTTTAGTAGTTTCTCCAGTACAAGATAGATCTGCCATTCTATGTACTAACTTGTGCCTTCTTACTAATCATATTTTGAACTGATTTTGCCAGAAAGTGGTAGCAGAGGGGAAAGATGGATAGTTTCCACAGACATATATTAATTTAATTAGCAATTACATTCTGAATTTCAGAAATGGAGGAAAGAACCCTATTGCAATATTCTAATTCTATGAAATAGCTATAAACATGTCACAAAACAAAAGAACAATTTAAAAGGATTGCCTTAAACTTTAAAAACATGTCCTATTTTGAATTTGTTCTCCCAAGAAAGCTAGCTGATTTAAACAACTGAATTACTTATTTGAATTTTATAAGTTCTTGATAAGATACCTTGTGATTATTTGTGAGATTTCCAAACAGAAAGAGGTAGAATATATATTTATTTAAACTATTTGATTGATTGATTTGATTTATATCCTGTTTTTCTATTCAGTAAGGTAGTTCCTGAATACCACAGTCTTTTGTTGTATCATATTCCAATGTTGAATTTATTTAATAATTAAATAAAGGAAAACTATTTCCACATTTATGGAAGATTATGTTGTCTTATGAGAAAACACACACACACACACACACACACACACACACAGGCACTTCTTTTAACAGATTTACTTTGGTAAACTGAAGATTCTGGCACCAGCAGTATGATTAAAAAATAAGATTTTTTAATTGCCTCATAAACTTGAAAAGTATTCATTCATAGAAAATTACACAAACCTCATTTCCATAACTTCCCTTCTACTTTCTTCATATTTCTCTTTCCATTCTGAAATCATCCTTTCCTTTGCAATTATCTTTTTAAAAAAGAGAAGAAATAAGGTTGTATCAGCTTGAAAAAAAGACAAAGTACTTTGCTACATAACATTCTAAGGATCGATAGAAAAGTATAACAAAATTATAATTATGGCATCCACAGGAAAGGCAAGGAGAGCAAAGTGCACAATTATGTTATCACACAAACATTGTGACTTACATATTTGCGTCAGATGTCAGGATGCGAGTACATAATTGTGGCACATGTGATGTCACCATATGCATGTCTTTTCTATGTCATCACTGTTTGCTGCAGATGCCATTTTTATAAAATCAAAATCTGTTGGCATTTTTCCCTCTTGCTAAGCCAAGACAAAGCACAAATACAAGCAAATAATATTTGTTCAAAAATCATAGTTTTTTGCTGAGAATGGATTGCTTTGGAATCCACAGGAAGCTGTTTTTTGAGTCATGTCGTACTTCAGGGTTTATCAAGCTTACTAGTTTAAGTCATACAAACTTCAATTCCCAGAATTCCGAGCCAGCCTATCTGAGGAATTCTGAAAGTTGAATCCATGTGTTTTAAAATTGCAAGGTAAGAAATTCTGTGAGTCCTATTTATGCCTTTATATGAACTCTATTACACCTACGCAAAAAACTACTAAATATCTATGTTCCCAAATATACAAAACTATACATAAAAAAAACTTGACCTAGGCCTTGCCAAATATTTACCAAACTCTTTGAATATATAATATAAACAAAAAAATTGTGCTCTTATGTAGTCTTCTGTTTGGTAAACGAAGAAATCCTTAACAGAGATATATAACAAACATTCCAACCATACATGTGTTTTCTCAACAAATAATTATGATCAAAAATAGATGGGACATGCACCAAATTTGTCCAATCAACTTTTCCATAACAAATTCTTGCTTTCTGTTAACTACTACTAATATATATTACTCTATAGAATAATACATAGTTCCTTATTGAACCTGCAATCTAAAGAAGGTAACTAGAACACATTCACTAAATTGTTTAATAGATAAGCAGAATTGATTCTTAAAAAAAGATAGCACAGTGTTGGTATTGATCAATAACTGGAAAAACATTAATTCATTCAAATTTATTACAATGAATTAATTGGGAGAACAAACTTCAAAAAGCGGTTGGTTGCTTTTGTAAAATGCCTACCGACAAATAGGCAGGGCTTCCTTGATTAAAATTGCCATTACCTCTTCCCTGGTAACTCTTAAGGCAGTATCCAGGTCTTGCTGTTTATAAAGCAAACTGGAGACATTTTCCCCCTCTGAGCTGCTTATCCGGGAGTACAATGCACTTTTAGAGATTGAAGCATCACCTGCAGGGTCTCTCTATTCATTTCAAAGAAGGACAAACAGTTAGTAATATGTTCCAGTAGTGAAGTATTTCAAAGGAAGTGAGAAAAGAAGGCAATGTGAAAAAAACATGGAATTAATTAAAATATTAATCTGGGTTTATCATTAAGCTATTTCACAAGAGTTACCATTACAAGTGTGGTGTTATACAGAATATTGGAAATTCCGATCTTTCTTTCTTGAAAAGCACCATTTATTTCATTGAGCTTCAGAACCAAAAGTGATCATTAAAGCTAGTTTGGCAAGAGAGTACGCTTTTGTAAGTGTCCCCAATTTGATGACTTCCAAATATATTGGACAGTATCTTTCAGGATTCTGAGTCAACGTGAAAATTATGAAAGTTGGAATTTTTAAGATGCCTGAATGAGCTCAGGATGGAAAAGTCTGATTCATAGAGAACCTACCAACTCAAGTGCTTAAATGCTTTTTTGCTGCTGTTTCAATTTCAATTAAGAAAAATTTTCCCCCTAATATCAAGTTCTCAGTAAACAAAATACATTTGGACAACTCTGTTCAGGATACAGCCTGACATCTACTGAAATGTGTATTACTTGCCATGCAACAATGGACACAAACATCAGCAAAAGTAAGATGAATTTTATTTGAATGTCAATAACAAAAGAAAAGAACAAAGTTGTTCTTTTGTTGGAGCAAAGTATGTTCCAACAAATACCTCAAAACACATTTTCCGCCAGCATATTTAAAAGGTTTATAACATAGCTTTGGCTTATACTTTTTCACAGCAGTTACCTAAACATAGTTTTGCAAATGGTAGAATAATTTAGGATAAAATATGAAACTGTTGATGTGGATTTATTTTTATAAGAATGTGATCACAATATTAACAATATAGTTACTTAATATTCAAGTTACTGACAGATCTGATTGAACATTTTTAATTAAAATGCATTTATACTAGGGTAATTGAAGCACCTGATCAGTGACTAAATAACATCTAAAGTTAATTAAGGTAAGTTTAAGCAGGAAACTATAAATTACAAATTCTTTCAATTGCAATATACAAAAGTAAGTTAAGAAAATATTGGCTCTGCTATTTTTTGTACACAGAACTAATGCAATTCAGATTCTTGCTTTTGGTTTTTAGGAAGAAACAGAATTATTTTGCACTAACTGCTTTTCTTATATTATGTATGAACAAATCCACTGTAGATACTGTCCTTGGGACTAAATAATTGGGAAAATATAATCTGACAACAGGAATTCTAATTGGTTTGCTTATTTCTATAAAGCAGTGAACATCAGCAATGTACTGAGGCTAAATATTTTATAGTTTATTGTCAAGAGTCATTTTGGAATCCACAACAACTGATATAAGCCACTGCTTGTTTTATATTATATTCAGAAATTCACAATTTATAAAAGTAGCATAGAACAAATCAGTGAAGATCTCTTATAAGAGATCAGTAAAGATACATAAGAGACTGAGCAAACTGTTTTAAGAGTTATTCAGAAACACTGGCTATAGTCAGGCATGTTAATTCCATAATTTCTATGTTAATATTAAAGTTAGACAATTAAACTATCTATTATATACATTATGTATACTATCTCTATCTCTTTTTAAAATTCAAGTATTTGAGGATTTCCTTTGTTTTACCTTTAGAAGAGAAATTATATGATTTATATTATTCTAGACTAGAGAATGCATGTGAAGGAATGGGGTTTTTGTTTGATTGCTAGTTTTTATTTTTCTAAATAAAATATTTTTCTAAATCTTGAAATCCTTCTTGGTTTCAAAAACAATATCTACAAAAATATCTATTTTGAAATTTTAAATAGACACTCACACATACACATACCTTATTTCTCTAAAAATAATTATAAAATCCCCAATGGAGTTACGATTCATACATGAAACTGATATGGCCCCAAATTAAAACTAATTTATCTATCATAACATGCAGTTTGGGTTACTTTTTATTTTATAAATGAGAACTAAAATGTTTCTTCTGAAAGACATGGGAAATGAAAACAATATTTTTCACATATAATCTTTATTATGAGAGCAAATACACTGATTTTGTAGCTGGCAGCAAGATTATCATGAAGATTAACAGGTTCTCTATTGGAAATTTTTATTGTGCATTCAAATAATTTGAATTCAGCTGTCATTTGCATGGAACCCAAAGAACCATAGCACAAAAATAATTATACATACAAAAATTAAAAAAACAGAAATATTTGGGGGAAAAATTGCAATTTAGTAGTAGATATGAAGCAGAAATGGGGCGTTGGTTCTTACCTGATACGCTTCTTTTCATGGGGCTGCGGAGAGCGTCCAGATTGGGAGGTGCTTCAGTCTCGGCTCCTACAGGCTGAGCTTGAAATTGAGGAACGCCTCTTGCCATCACGTGGTCCTCCGGCGTCCCAGTTTTGCGAAGACGAGAAGGCAGGCCCTGTACTCATGCTAACTAAAGAACGTTAATGTGCTTGGCTGAACGATGAGGTTCCCCACCAGACGGCTTAATGGGTGGGGCTGGACGCTCTCCGCAGCCCCATGAAAAGAAGCGTATCAGGTAAGAACCAACGCCCCTTTTCCATGGAGCTGCTACGAGCGTCCAGATTGGGACATACCAAAGCTTGGCTAGTCCTCCGGGTGGGTTCCCGTCTGGGGTGGAACCTCCTCTGGAACTTCGATAACACGCTGAAGGACACGCCTGCCAAAGGAAGCCTCAGCGGATGCAAATATATCAATCTTATAGTGCTTGATGAAGGGAGAGGGGGATGTCCAGGTGGCAGCCCTACAGATGTCAAGTATCGAGGCTTGCGTGGCCCATGCGGCAGAAGTAGCCGCACTTCTGGTGGAGTGGGCGGTGATGCCCACTGGAGCGGAAAGTGACTGAGCCTGGTAGGATTTGGCGATAGCGGCCCTAATCCAGCGGCCCACAGTTGAGGGCGTCACCTTGCGACCGAGAGAAGCAGGATGGAAAGACACAAATAAGGCCTCTGACTTGCGAAAGGGCTGGGTGCGTGTGATATACATCCTCAAGGCGCGTCTTACATCAAGGAAGTGCCACTGCCTCTCTTTCTCGTGAGAAGGATTGGGGCAGAAATCAGGAAGTATGAGCTCCTGATTTCTGTGAAATGCCGAGTTCACTTTAGGGAGGAAGGTGGGGTCGGGACGGAGGATGACTCTGTCAGAGTGAAAAGTACAAAGATCCTGTCTAATAGAGAGGGCCGCCAACTCCGAGATCCGACGGGCGGATGTGATGGCCACGAGAAAGACGGTCTTGAAGGTGAGGAGCTGTAAGGGAATCTCCCTTATGGGTTCAAAGGGGGACTTGGTGAGGGCGACCAGAACCTTGTTGAGGTCCCAGGTCGGAAAACGGTGTATGGTTGGGGGGCGGAGGTTGGCAGCTCCCCTAAGAAAGGTCTTGACAAGGGGGTGGTGGGAGATGGAACCCCCAGTGTCTGAGGGGACAACGGTTGCGAGGGCAGCAACCTGGCGTCTTAGGGTATTGGTAGAAAGACCCTTGTCGAGACCCACCTGGAGGAAGTCAAGGATTTGGGGTATGGAAGGAGAAAGAGGATTAATTCGACGTCTGAGGGCCCAAGAACGAAAAGCAGCCCATGTGGCATTGTATATGCGGTTGGTCGAGGATCGTCTGGCTGCCAGGATGGTGTGTATAGCCTGGTTAGAAATTCCCTGAGCCCTTAGACGGCTCCGCTCAACCTCCAAACGGCTAACTGGAGCCATTGGGGTTTGGGATGAAGTAGGGGGCCCTGAGACAGGGAGATCCTGTCTGGGGGGATCCTCCAGGGAGGGGCCACCGAGAGGTTGCGGAGGTCCGCAAACCAAGGGCGTCTGGGCCAAAAGGGAGCTACTAGGATCTCTGCCTGCTCCAGGATCAACTTGTGGATCACCCTGGGGATGATGGATAGGGGGGGAAAGGCATAAAGGAGCCCTGGGGGCCAAGGGCAGCGGAGGGCATTGTGGTTCTCTGCCCTGGGAGAGGGGTACCTTGAAATGAACCTCGGAAGTTGAGCGTTCAGAGGGGAAGCGAAGAGATCCACCAAGGGGGGCCCGAAGATGGAGGCTGCTTCCCTGAACAGAGAAGGGTGGAGGCGCCATTCCGCTTGGTCTAGGGTGGCTCTGCTGAGCCAGTCCGCTTGAATGTTTAGGACCCCGGATATGTGATCTGCCCTGATGGAGGCCAGGTTTGATTCCGCCCACCTGCAAAGGCGCTCGGCTTCTCTCATGAGGCTTGCTGACTGAGTGCCCCCCTGCCTGTTGATGTGGGCCTTTGCGGTGATGTTGTCCGTGAGGACCAGGATATGACGACCGCGTACCTGGGGTAGGAAGCTGCGAAGCGCCAGGAGGACAGCGTGAAGCTCCAGCCAGTTTATGGAGCAGAATTGCTCTGTTGGTGACCATTTGCCCTGTGACGATATGGAGAGGACGTGAGCTCCCCAACCGAGTAGGCTCGCGTCCGTGGTGACGGATAGCCTGTCGGGCTCTTTGAAGTAATGACCTTTGTTTATGGCCGGCCTGGTCCACCAAAGGAGGGACGTAAGAACTCTCGGAGGAACTCTGACCCGAAGTCGGGAGTTGCTCCTTCCGGAACGTTGATACGGCAGCAGGAACCATTGTAGAGACCTGGAATGGAAACGGGCCCAGGGAATGATAGATATGCATGAAATAAGCTTCCCCAGCAACTTAGACAGTTCTAAGAGAGAAACTGTTCTTGCCCTCCTGACCTCCTTAATTGACTGTTGGATGCTAAGCCACCTGTCTGGGGACAGGAAAACTAGTTCCCGGTTGGAGTCAATCACTGCCCCCAGGTGAGTAAGTTGGGTAGAGGGGGAAAGGTGACTTTTCCTCCAGTTGATAATGAACCCATGGTTTTGCAGGGTATTAAGGGTGAGTTTGGTATCTCTTAGGGCGAGAGCTCTAGAGGATGAGAGGATGAGGATATCGTCCAGATAACAGTGAAGTTGGACGGGGAAGGAACGCA